CGACTATTCCCTGGCTTTGTTTCGGCCTTTTACCAGTTTTGTTCTGAATCTTTTTCATTTCTCAGATGGATTACCCGGATGTCTCCCAGTGTTACTCCAACCCATTTCTCGGCTTTGTTCTGGCCTTTCGGATGTTTTTCACTCCACCACCATTTTCAAGATTTCATCTCCAAACTCAAGTTGGCTTCGAGAAACCCATCTCGAGTTTGCGAGAGAATATTGAAATATATATTACACATATGTATAATATATTATGTATAATATATTATATATATTATATATATATATTACCAACAGGCCTGTAGCCTAGCGATACAAGGCCCCTACTTCTCAAAGGGAGGTCAGGGGTTCGAATTTCAGTGGAGGCATGTGTGTGTGAGTACCAATTAGGAAAAAAATATTATACATATTTATTATATTCGGTTTCCTTTTGATTTACTTCTTGATTTATTCCTTCCTTTTGTTTCCTTTCTTTCTTTATATAAATGTATAATATATTATATATATTATACATATATATTATATTTGGTTTCCTTTCTTTCCTCCTTAATTTCCTCCTTGATCTATTCCTTTTGTTTCCCTTCTTTCCTCCTTGATTTATTCTTTTTATCAACTTTATTTCCTCTATATTGTATATCAATACAATGTAAACATATCAAGAAATACAAATAATAAGAGAAATGTAGTCTTAGTGGCTCTTGATCCATGGATGTAGGCCTTAGTGTCAAACCATGTATATACTGTGTTCATCTTCTTATTTTACATCTTATATTTCCGCATCCAAAATTTAACAGTATCATGCCCAATGAAGACTCCTTATATATTCTCTTAATAATATGATAAGATAACTATATTATGGGGTATACATACGCAAACCCAAAGACTAAATTGCATGCTCCATTCAAACCTATTAGAGACGATTGAAGATCATTGATAGAGTGAAACACGACAACCTAAAACCCCATAACTAACTCAAGATATTCGACATTTTCCTAAGAAATTGCTAAAAAAACTTTCCCCCAAAAGAAAGCACCAAAAAATCACCTTTTAAAGAACCGCTTGAGTGCCAAAAAATGATAATTACAATTTTGCTCCAACCCTAAATTGCAATTCCAAAATGAGGAATATATCAAGAAAACAAAATATGTATAATAAAGTGTAAATAGAATAGATATATGCATCAACAATGTATTAAAAGTGTATGTATATTTTTTTTAATCTTACATACATATATATGATCATACATTCTTTCTTACAAGTTTATTTCATTTTCATTTGGAGGTTGATAGGTGATGGCCATGGTGGTGAGAGGTGGAGGCCATGATTTTGGGGCAACGGTGATAAAAGGTGGAGAGGGGAGACAGAAGAGAAAGAAGAACAACCCTTCTTTTTTTTTGGGACAATACTTGGTCCTTTCATGGAAGGATGAACTTTATCCTCCCAACTGAAGTGGTCCAATATAATTAAGACACATGTCCAAATTTTTAATAATAGTTATTATCCAATTTCTTATGGGTTAAACCCAAATCCAATATTTTTTTCTTTTCTTATTTAAAATTTTTAGAATCCCTTAAAACCAAACTCAATTTTTTTTCTTCCCCCTCACTCTCTCCTGCCACAAATCTCCATACCCAACCTCAATTTGAAAGCATAGTCTATCTACATCAATAAAAAACACTCAACTTTGATTCAATATGAAAAATAATATACAAACCAATGTAAACTCATAAGTGACACAAAACTATACCAATTGGAGTATTCACAAACTTTTAATATTTCTTTTTCATAATTTCCACCAATGAGGAAGAAAAAAAAAAAAACAACCCTTAGCATTATCAATTGAAGGTGTTGGAACTTGGGAAGGATGCAAAAGATAGATTTAACTTTGACAAAAAATAGATCTACGAGAAAAGCTAACTCTGAATAAGAAATAAATATATGAGAAAAACTCGTGTCAAATATATGTTAACATCAAATTTTCATATAATATTTTAAGCTCATATTCCTTCCCTATTCAACACTTGATATAGCACATTCTTTAAATAATTTTAGTAATTTTTCAATTTGGGTATAGAAACAATAGTATTCTTTTGGAAAAAAAAAAAAAAAAAAATTGGGATTCGGTTTAACCAGTAAGAAAATAGGTAATGATTATTTTTAGAAAATTTAAAATTTTAAACATATGTCTAAATTGTATTGGGCCACATCAGTTTGGAGGATGAACTTTATCCTCCACGAGGAGGGCCTAAGTATTATCCCTTTTTTTTTTTTTTTTTTTTTTTTTTTTTTGCATTGACAAAATTTGAGGGGAGTATTTGTCAAAAAGAAAATGATTCTTGCACCCAATAGTTGCAATGAATTGTTAAACATATTTTTTTAATTGGTCAATTATGCAACAAATAAGAAAGTGGAGCCCTCCACTTAGTTATATTTGATATAAATAACAAATTAAAAATTATTAAATTAGACAATTTACTACAAATATTCAGTGTAAGTATCACTACTCTTGTCAAAATAAAATAAACCACATAAGCACACGGTGCAACCCAATAAATTTGCATGTTAATCTCTTAAAATAAAACTACCACACTCTAAACTACTGAACGTTTAAAAATACGAGAAACAACCTAACTGCCGTAGATCATAGTCAAAAGTGTCTGGAAATTTAAAAATTGCCCCAAGTTTAGTGCACAAAGCTCAAGGACTATTATGCATGGTTATCAAAATCGCGATTCTGAGTCGTAGAATCGCACGATTCTACGACTCATAACTCAAAATCAAGTCAAATCGTAGTAGAATCGCTCAATTGGTAGAATCGGGGATAGAATCGGGGAATCGGAGGTAGAATCGTACGATTCTTCACGATTCTACCGATTCTACAAAATTGGTTGTTTGGGCCTTTATTTTTGGGCTTTTTTTATTTTTTGGTTGGTTTCTTCTAGGTTACAAAATAAAAGAGGCCTGGCCCAAGTATAGTATACAAAGTTAAATATTTATTCGATAAAATATAAATTATTTTTCATTAGTGGCAGAAAAAGAAATATATATATATATATATATATATATATATATATATATATATATATCAATTATTTTTACCATGCATGTCGATGTTCCATAATATATTTTTGTATTTAATTATAAAAAATTAAAATCATCAATTATATTTCAAGGATGCATACTCATGACTAACAGGTTTAGGCAAATTTTGGTTTCATGATCAATATTTTCATTTGACTAATTCTTTTTTTTTTTTTTTTTTTTTTTTAAAGGCTTATCATATATATTAAAAATTAAAAATAATTTAAAAGCTTAAAATACTTGTCGGATCTGCCAGCCAAGGTATAATCCTGTAGTCTAAACTGATAATATAATGAGATCGAGTTAACACGTGGTTCATTAATTTTGTTGTTCTAACTCTTGATTAATTTCATACTTGTGACTAATAAGGTCACATATACCGAAACACTTGGATTGGTGGACAAAAAGGTCTTTTTATTTCTTCACTTTTCAAAAAAGAAAAAAATAAAGAAAAAAAAAAGAAAGGAAATTGCATAGAGTTAAAAAAAAAAAATTCCTTTTGATACGTAATTTTAGTTTCTAACTTTGGAGACGGATGAGTTAAGATTTGAGATTTGTAAACTCATGTTATTTTAAACTGCATTCTCTTTTATATATATTCGGACTTTGAAATATTGTTAGGATTTGAGATTTGTGAACTCATAAATATGTAACATTGTGTGTTTTGGCTTCATTTTTGTTATATTTTACAGATCTTATTGTTTAAGAAGATAGTTTCAATTCTTTTTTCACAATTTGGTAGAATCTTACGATTCACGATCCGATTCTATGGAACTCAAAATGATTCTACGTAGAATCCCGATTTTAACAATCTTGCTATTATGTACTATTTCTGTTTTAACATCCTTTCAGTTAAACCAAACAGTAAGTTGGGATTTCAAGTCTTAATAGTCAATACTTTGACAGCCTATTTTGCCGTTAATGAGCGGATTCTATGCAAAAATTTTACTATTTAGGTATCTGCTAAAAATTTACGATATTGGAGCAATATGCAAATTTATTAATTCATTCAATTAAAAAGTGAATAGTCAAGTCAACGTCTGAAAACTACAAATCTTTAGGAGAACTCATTTCGACTATCCAAGCAACTATAAAACCAATACTTTATTTACGAGGATGATGTCACTCCAATCCTCATTAGCATACGTCAACCAATGACCCACTGGCAAGAATTACTTATTTAGCTACTCCACCAAAATTATGATATAAAAATTACATTGAAGAGTGGAATTAATGAAAGCTTACAAAATTTTACATTTTAAGCATTGAGCAGTGATTCTTGGGCAGAGTCATTGATGGATGTATAATTTAAATATCCATAATTAAGGAAAGATTGCTAAATTAACGCACTATTGAGATAGGCTCTGCAGATTACGATAAGGATTACAGATTGAGATAGGATTTACAGATTACGATAAGGATTAAAGATTGTGATAAGGATTAAAGATTACGATGAGGATTAAGTCTACAGATTACAATAAGGTAATTCTACGTGACATCTTAACCTAAGCCCTATAAAAAAGGCGGGGTAATCAACGTTTGGAGGTACGCAAAAAACCCTAACTCAAGTTCTTGATTTCTCTTAAGAGATTAGTTCGCACACTGACTTATTCGTCGGAGCCTACTCCACTGGTAACACACCGGTGCTTGTAGGATCACCTTTTCTTCTCTCTGTCCAGGAAGTTAGATCAGATCCGGGTTGCGCAGAATCCATCATCAACAGTTGGCACCGTCTGTGGGAATGATTTTAGTTCTCTAAATAAAGTATGGTTCGATTGCGATCTGGTCTGGTTGCTAGCGAATACGAAGCGTTGCAAACTTCTGATCAAAGGGACTCGACGAGGCAACCCCCCGCCGTCCCAAACGATCAGGAACGCGTCACATCGTTGGAACAATAGGTTTAAACCTTAAATAAGGGAATGAACCAATTAGTCCAGAAAAATTCAATGATTCTACAACGCTTAGCCGACCTTAATGAGGTGGAGAATAATGAAGTACCCAATAATGACTCCCGTAGGATTGACAACGACGCTGAGCTTAGTCAAATAGGGGGTCAACAGAGAAGCCATCACCATCGGTCTCTTGAACGGAATAATACCAAGCTCCGTGTAGGTACCTCTGGTTGTGTTGGTGACAAGACTGAAGACGTCACTTATTTCAATCTGTAGATGCAAGATCTGAGAACTAGGGTCAAAGACGTCATGCAAGCAATGAAAGGGAAGGGCCAGGCCACAGTGAACGATCTGGTACAGAAGACCAACCTAGCATTTAGCCTCGCTGTTATGTTATGAGTTGTCCTCTACCTAGCAAATTTAAGATGCCAACTCTTGAGAGCTTCGATGGATTGCAGGACCCTCTAGATCATTTAGAGACCTACAAAGCTCTTATGTATTTGCAAGTCGTACCGGATGAGATTATGTGCAGGGCTTTCCCTACCACACTAAAGGGTTGGGCTTGTCTTTGGTTCAATAAATTAAAGCCAGGCTCCATTGAAATCTTTAATGAGTTGAGCAAACAATTCATTGGACACTTCATCGCTGGGCAGAGGCATAGGAGACAGCAACACACTTATTGAATGTGAAACAGCAGAAGGGAAAGCCTCTCCGTAGTTACATAAGTAGTTTTAACGCTGATATACTGCAGGTAGAAGAGGTGGACGACAAGGTTGCCCTCACAGCCTTTATGGGAGGACTACAGACTTCTAAGTTCCTATTTTCCTTATCAAAAGAAGCCCCTACAAGCATGACAGAGTTGATGGTTAGAGCGTGGAAGCACATGAACGCTGAGGATGCTATGAATGCACGAAAAAACAAAGATGGTGAAGATAAGAGGTCGGAGAAGAAGAGGCCAGCACCTAACACTAGGGAGGAAAAGGAATCGAAGTACAAGAAATTCTCAAACAACCAGGCTGACAGATCGTCTCGCCGCCCAGTGAGTCCAGGCAGGTATAATAACTATACCCCCTAAATACATCTGTAGAGCCAGTCTTTCTGCAGATTCAAGATGACGCATCATTGAAATGGCCGCCAAAGCTAAAAGCTGATCCAACAAAGAAGTCTCTAGGTAAATACTGTAAGTTTCACCGGGACCATGGGCATAACACAGAAGATTGTTTCGACCTCAAAAACCAGATCGAGAACCTTGTTCGTAAAGGTCATTTACGCAAATTCACAACTAGAAATGGAAAAGGAGGCTCCAACCCAGCCCGGGAGGGCCGAGATGATCGCCCTCCTCAACACCAACCAATGGGTGAGATCAAAGTTATATCGGGTGGCTTCGCTGGTGGTGGTGAGACAAGTTCGGCTCGAAGGGCTCATGCTAGGAGAATTCGGAGTTTTTCAGAGGTGAATGAAGTTGGAATGACAAGTCCTCCAACAAAATTACCTCGAGTTGAGGAGCCGGTCATAACCTTTTCTGAAGAAGATGACAAGGGAATTCACCAGCCCCATGATGACCCTCTGGTAGTTTCCATGGTCGTTGCTAATTTCACTATTCGATGAATACTGATAGACAATGGTAGCTCGGCTGACATACTATTTCTTAGGGCGTACGAGAAATTAAAAATTGGCCGAGAGAAGCTCCGACCCATGAAGTCACCACTGGTGGGATTTTCAGGCGACAAAGTATATCCACTGGGGGCAGTTACCCTTCCAGTTACTGCAGGAGCCAATCCAAAGCAGGTCACTATAATGGTGGACTTTGTAGTGGTGGACTGCCCATCATCATATAATTTTATCCTGGGGAGGACAACATTGAATGCCATGAAAGCAATCACGTCCACTTACCATCTCCTGATGCGTTTCCCAACTGAATATGGTATGGGAGAGCTAAGAGGGGACCAAACAATAGCTCACGAATGTTATGTCGCCTCTCTCAGAAAACAAAATCGTAAGAGGCATTTATGATTGAAGGGCTGGAAGGGAAAGATAGACCAGACTTTCATAGAGCGGAACCTACAGAAGAGCTAGAAGAGGTCATCCTTGGTGATGGTGAGCCTGAGAAAAAAGTGAGTATAGGGTCTTTACTCCCCCCAGGTATCAAAGATGAACTTACTCAATTCCTCAGGAAGAATCGAGACGTATTTGCATGAAGACATGCCGGGTATAGACCCCACTATCATGGAGCACCGCTTAAATGTAAATCCTGACTTTAAACCTGTCAGACAAAAGAGGAGGACTTTCGTTCCAGAAAGGAATCAGGCTATATCAAAAGAGGTGAAAAAGCTCTTAAAAGTCGACTTTATTCACGAGGTGTACTACACCGACTGGCTGGAAAATGTGGTCTTAGTGAAGAAGGCAAATGGAAAGTGGAGGCTATATGTGGATTTCACAGACCTTAACAAAGCTTGCCCGAATGACAGCTTTACTCTCCCAAGAATCGATATGCTCGTTGAGGGAATGGCTGAACACGAACTATTAAGTTTCATGGATGCATATTTTGGATACAACCAGATATCTATATACACCTCAGATAGAGAAAAAATGGCCTTCATCACTGATAGAGGTTTGTACTGTTACAAAGTAATGTCGTTTGGGCTCAAGAACGCTGGTGCAACATACCAAAGGCTAGTGAATGCAATGTTTAAGCATCAAATTGGTAGAAACATGGAGGTATATGTTGATGACATGTTGGTGAAAAGCTTAAAAGCTGAAGACCATTTGACTGACCTACAGGAGACCTTCGAGGTACTTAGGAGGCATAAGATGAAACTCAACCCCAGCAAGTGTGCCTTTGAGGTTTCCTCAGGAAAGTTCTTAGGATATATGGTAAGCAGAAGAGGAATTGAGGCCAATCCAGAGAAGATCCGAGCAGTCATTGACATGAGATCGCCAAGATCAACCAAGGATCTACAATGACTAACAGGGAAGATTGCTGCCTTGAGTAGGCTAATCTCTCGGTCAACTGACAGGTGTCTACCTTTCTTTTGTGTGCTAAGGAAGGCGTTGGAATGGACCCCAGAGTGTAAGCAGGCGTTCAAAGAGCTAAAGCAATACCTTAGTTCTCCCCCACTAGTGTCTCGAACCATACCGAGAGAGGAACTATACATATACCTTGCAGTCTCCACGACAGCTGTCAGTTCAGCTCTGATACGAGAAGAAGAAGGGGTCCAAAGGCCAGTATACTTCGTGAGCAGAGCACTTAGGGGTGCGGAGGAAAGATATCCAAGGATGGAACAGTTGGCCTTTGCTTTAATTGTGTCCGCCAGGAAACTGAGACCATACTTTCAAGCGCATACGATAGTGGTCCTAACAGATCAACCCCTTCGACAGGTCCTACACAAGCCAAAAAGCTCTGGTCGACTGATGAAGTGGTCAGTAGAGTTAGAAGAGTTCGACATTCAGTATAAGCCAAGAACAGTAGTAAAGGCTCAGGTGTTGGCTGATTTCTTAGCTGAGTTTACACCTCCAGAAGAGGAGAAACAACCCCAATTTTCGACAGAACCAGGTTTAAGTGAGCAGATGGGACCAGAAGTAGTTTGGGACTTGTTCGTGGATGGGTCATCTAATGTTCAGGTTAGCGGAGCCGGGCTTGTTCTTGTCTCCCCAGAAGGAGAAAGTATACAGTACGCACTTCGGTTTGGTTTCAAAGCAACCAACAACAAAGCAGAGTACGAAGCCTTGATAGCAGGATTAAAAGTGGCAAATGCCCTAGGGGTTGAGCAATTAAATATGTACACTGACTCCGAGCTGGTCGCTGGACAAGTTCAAGCGGAATATGAGGTACGAGACGAGAAGATGAAGAGTTACCTATAAAAGGTGAAGGAATTAAAGAATCACTTCCAAAGATTCTCAATTCATCAAATACCACGAGAAGAGAATGGGAAAGCAGACACTTTAGCCCGGCTAGCTACTGCATTGAACTTGAGATCAATAAGAATATACCACTGGAATATTTGGAAGAACCATCTATATCTCAGGAGAGACAAATTGAAGTGCAACAAGCGATATTGAGTGTGGAATGGGCAGATCCTATCATCAGATATATCAAGGATGGGGTGTTACCAATAGACCGAGCAGAAGCTCGAAAGGTCAAGATGCGGGCAGCTAGGTATACGCTTATCAAAGGGGTGCTCTACAAGAGAAGCTTCTCCATGTCGTATTTACGATGCGTTTCTAGCGAGGAAGCTGACTACATTTTAACACCTAGGAGTTTGTGGAAACCATGCTGGGGGTAGGTCACTTGCTAACAAGGCCATCCAACTAGGATACTATTGGCCCACCATGCAGAAAGATACACTTGACTTCGTTAAAAAGTGCGAGGGGTCAGCTTCATCTTCTTCCCTCGTAAAAAGATGAGGGGTTAAATACTTCCCTTGTTAAAGGGTGAGCTGAGTGAAGTTCATATTAATCTACTTCCCCTGTTAAAGGGTGACCTGGGTGAAACTCGTATTAATCTACTTCCCTTGTTAAAGGGTGAGATGAGTGAAGCTCATAGTAATCTACTTTCCTCGTAAAAAGATGAGGGGTTAACTACTTCCCTTATTAAAGGGTGAGCTGAGTGAAGCTAATAGTAATCTACTTCCCCTATTAAAGGGTGACCTAAGTGAAGCTCGTATTAATCTACTTCCCCTGTTAAAGGGTGACCTGGGTGAAGCTCGTATTAATCTACTTCCCTTGTTAAAGGGTGAGATGAGTGAAGCTCATAGTAATCTACTTCCCTCGTTAAAAGGTGAGCTGAGTGAAGCTCATAGTAATCTACTTCCCCGATGAGTGAAGCTCATAGTAATCTACTTCCCTCGTTAAAAGGTGAGCTGGGTGAAGCTCATAGTAATCTACTTCCCCTGTTAAAGGGTGAGCTGAGTGAAGCTCGTATTCATCTACTTACCTTATTACGAGCTACGTGAAACTCGTCTTAATCTACTTTCCTTATTAAAGGGACTAGCCGACTAAGGATGTCAATAAAATTAAGTATAAAATAACGGTAGCATGCCAGCAGGGCAGCTTGCCAAATAATGGGAGCATGCCAGTAGGGCAGCTTGCCAAATAAAGGCAGTATGCCAGCAAGGCAGCTTACCAAATAAAGGCAGCATGCCAGCATGACAGCTTGCCAAATAAAGGCAGCATATCAGCAGGGCAGCTTGCCAAATAACGGCAGCATGCTGGCAGGGCAGCTTGCCAAATAAAGGCAGCATGCCAGCAGGGCAGCTTGCCAAATAAAAGCAGCATGCCTGCCAAATAAAGGCAGTATGCCAATGGGGCAACTTGCCAAATAACGACAGCATGCCAGCATGACAGCTTGCCAAATAAAGGCAGCATGTCAACAGGGCAGCTTGCCAAATAACGACAGCATGCTGGCAGGGCAGCTTGCCAAATAACGACAGCATGCTGGCAGGGCAGCTTGCCAAATAAAGGCAGCATGCCAGCAGGGCAACCTGCCAAATAACGGCAGCATGCCAGCAAGACAGCTTGCCACGGCAGCATGGCATGGCAGCTTGCCACATAACGGTAGACTACCAGCATGGCAGCTTGCCACATATACGAGCTGCCAATGTGGCACTACGACAAATATACAAGCTTGCCAATATACGACAAATATACGAGCTTGCCACATATACGAGCTGCCAATATGATATTATGACCCCCGACTGTATTCGCGAAATGACAATATAAGTCAGGCTAATGGACAAGGCTCTACAATTCTAACTATATATTATTGTGTGATATTTTAGAATTAACGTTCCGGTGGTTTGACAAGTAATCCTCCGAAACGAGGGGCAACTGATGGATGTATAATTTAAATATCCATAATTAAGGGAAGATTGCTAAATTAACGCACTATTGAGATAGGCTCTACAGATTACGATAAGAATTACAGATTGAGATAGGCTTTATAGATTACGATAAGGATTAAAGATTGTGATAAGGATTAAAGATTACGATGAGGATTAAGTCTACAGATTACAATAAGGTAATTCTACGTGACATCTTAACCTAAGCCCTATAAAAAAGGCGGGGTAATTAACGTTTGGAGGTACGCAATAAATCCTAACTCAAGTTCTTGATTTCTCTTAAGAGATTAGTTCGCACACTGACTTATTCGTCGGAGCCTACTCCACCGGTAACACACCGGTGCTTGTAGGATCACCTTTTCTTCTCTCTGTCCAGGAAGTTAGATCAAATTCAGGTTGCGCAGAATCCATCATCAACAGTCATAAAGAGAATTATTTGAACTATAATTTTTAATTAATTATTTTTACTAAATTTACTTTTTTTATAAAAGTATATATAATTAATTAAAAGTTGTCGGTCAAACAAATCACTTTAATTAATTAACTTTAAAATTATGCAGCAAATAAAATTTTAATATAAAAAATTGATGATATTATTCGTGTTTGTAGCATATGCTAACACTCTCGAATGGACTAAGCAGGACATTCAACATAACCCAAAAATAAATATATAAATAAATAATAAATAATAAAACCATTTTGTTTTGAACACTATACTTTTAGATACTTTGTATAAGCTAAATATTTTAGACCACATATTTGACATATCTT